TCCCTACAAAGCTCAGAGCTGACAGCAGTAGGTGGGGGTGGTGAAAGGGAGAGCTATATATTTGATTTGTTTGGGTTTTTTTACCTTGCAGAGGAAAATGAACTCCTACAGCAAACTCTTCTATGCCAAAACAGCCATGACACATCACCTCCATCAATGCTGACAACTTGAAATTTGATGTAGACATAATTTGCACATGACAAGAAGGATTTGTTCCCACTTATTTTATTCTTCTGTAAATTCTCAAGCATGTCAATATTTGTGTTTGATATGCCCAAGAACAAATATAGATCACAGGAAAGACAACTACCTGTACTGTTTTCCACCAAACAATTAAAAACCCAAAAATCTCCACAACCACAACCCGTCTCAATAAAACATGACTTGGACACTGCAGTCTGCAGACAACAGACTACACTTCCCATTTCAAAATCTAATTTACTTTTAGCAGGACAAGACAGGCTGATCGTTTGTTGTGAAACAAAGGGAAATGCTCAAACAAATGAACTGTGTCCTTCTAGAGGCAGGCACATTGTTTCAGTTCTTTGGAGTCCAAATTCTCCAGGTCACATGGAGTGGGCAAGCTGCTGCCAAGGCCAAGTCTGCAATGTTTAAAATCCTACTCTTTGCCTCATTTTTCCTATCACGCCTTTGTGCTGTTAAATACACCCTTGACCTCCAAGTAGTCTTAAAAGAACAGTCATCTCCATTATCTCAATCAATAAGTCTTTACAGCTGATGGAAACAAAAACAAGTAGCCCTACTGAAAGGTGGCATGGCCTGTGCACAAGGCGAGCTGCAGCAGCACTGGGTGTCCTCACCAGGCAGGGGAGGTGAGCTTCAACACCTGCATCCCGGTGTAAACCAAGCAAGCTGCTACCTTAACATGTTCAACTTAAATACTTAAATGTTTTTTAATCAACTTGCTGGACTGCAGCTTGCGTCATCTAAAATCAAACTCTAACACACCTTGGACTTTCCCAGCTGTCCTCCAATTTCTCTATGCTGTACTGAGTAAATCGCCCACACAGCAGCATAAGGCAGCCCTACCTTAAGTCAGCAAAGGAAAATTAAGACAACCAAAGGGCTTCAGAGATACACATTTTGTTTTCCTTTGCACAGGTGAGACATTGAGTTCAGTAGCAACATTTTTACAAGGGCCTGTAGTGATAGGACAAGGGGGAATGGCCTGAATGAGAACAGGTTTTAGATTAGGTAGCAGGAAGAAATCCTTTACTGCAAAAGTGGTAAGACACTGGAAAAGGTTGCCCAGTGAAATTGTGGGTTCCTCATCCTTAGGAGTGTTCAAGGCCAGGTTGGATGGGGCTTTAAAGCAACTTTTTCCAGTAAAAGGTGTCCCTGCAGGAGGGTTGGAACTAGATGGTCTTTAGGGTCCCTTCCAAACCCAACCATTCTATGATTTAAAAGACTGAATTAACAGTTAGCACACTGGAGCCATATAAGAATGGCAAGGAGAGAGGAACACCAGATTGGGGAGATGTGAACTCCTCTAACACAGCAAGATAGCATCTCCCATAATCATGAGATCCAGGGTGCAGGTCACCCACAAAAAATATGTTTGTATGCCATTGCCCATGCCACTTAACTAAACTGAACACAAAGCTCCAACAAGACATTCTGGATTTGGCTGCCGGCAAGAACACAAATGAGAAATGCTTCAGCAGCTGGGAAATATGGGGTACCACTAACATATTCCACATACTGCTTAAATAAACGAAAACAGAATTTTCATACGAAAATTTATTTATTTAGACATTGTTTGGGGAAGTCTGTGTATTACTCTGAAATAAGATTAATATTTTTTCCATCAGAGGAGGATAGAAGGTTTGAATAAAGCATAACAAAGGGATTCTTTGAACAAACAGCAGAGGAGAAGGCATACTGCTTGAACTGACAATGTGCTGTAGGTAAAGACAAGGGCAGTCCCAGGGAGAAACAGGATACCCTGCTTGGATGTTAACCAGCACAAACTACTAAGTGGCTCCTTTCAACAGTTTCTTTCCCATTCATAGCTGCACACAAGCAAGAAGATGCAAGAACACAGCTTATATGTCACACTGACCAGAAAGAAATACCTGGTTTAATATTACTCAAGTGATTTTTTTTTTTTAATACTATTTTTCTTCTTATTGAGTTGTATTACTGTCTTGTTACTAATTAGAGTGCAATGAATGTATGTACTTCTGTGTTGAAAGGCAGTCTGCTCAGCTGGGACATTTCAAGAGCATACACTCTGGTGTACTCTGGTAGGGATCCCCATTAAAATCATTGAGCAAAAGCATGCACACATTTCTTAATTCAACATGTCATCCCTCTAAGGCCTGGGGACCTCACTTCAACAAGTATTCTAAAAACGTTTTTTCAAAGCTGGAATAAGCCAACACAACTGACGTGTCCAAAATAATTTTGTTTCCTATTACCAACTGGCACTGATTTCTACCATGTAGTAGTCTGTTTAATAAGCAGAACATAGTACATGTAATTTAAATATAGTTTATGGTTGCATTATTTTGGACTGGCTTTGATCTTCTTTTTCTCTTTGTTTCACCATTAGGATCCTGTTTCACTGGGATTTGGTCTTTTCACTTAAAACCGAAGTCCCTCTATTTAACAGCACTTGTCACACACATTTGCAATGAAAAATGTCCCTATTGCAATGAAAAAGTGCAGTCACTGCCAATATCCCCAAATGGAACAAATAATGAACTACTTGATCTGCCACAAGGTGAGCAAAAAGTTAAACATTTCCTCTACAAACTCCTCATTTCCAATATAGTTGCAAAACCAGCAAATACAGTTCTTGAAAAACTTATTAAGACTGTTATTGTAATTACCCACTTCCCTCTGCACCTGGGAGATCTCAAGTAGTAGGGCTATTGGACACCATATTTTAGAGACAGTCAGAGAAAATGAACTACTCTTACAGATGTAAGGAAACATAATTCATAGGAACAAACTTGGGGGGGGAGGTGTTTTATTTGTTGAGGGGTTTTTTAACACCCATAGATGGGTGGTAACAGCCCTCACAGCTGTAAAGGGCTGACTGGAGAAGGAAGCTGACTATCTTTCTCCAAGTCCACTGAACAGTAAGAAAAATGCACAGCTTTCCAGAGACAGGACCATGAAATGCACCAACTGCAGTTCTCAAAGAAGCAGCAGAGAACCTTTCACTGAAGGTTTTTCAGACACACGTTTTGTTTGGTTTGCTCGGCACAAACTGAATGTGGCTGGAGGCTCGGGGGTGACTGGCCAGCTGACCAGGCAGGCCTGTCTTTACAGCAAGACCAGAGGGGACAGATGTGACTTAGGGGAGGACCAGGAAGTGTGCAGATCCTGGATCAAGCAAGTAACAATTTCTAGAGTCCAAAAGCCTTTTGAAGAGAAGGTGCCAAGATGATACTTGATTACTGCATGACTGCCACCAGCACAGAGGGGTACTCTGAAACCCCCAGTGCCCCCATTGTCAGACCTTAGGATGAAGAAGGGTTTGGGAGTTCCACCTTAGAGGCTCCACCATGGAACTCACAGGGTGCCACCATCACACTGCAGCTGTGCAGGGCCACCATCTGCAATGCCACAGCTGCTGCTCATCACCAAAGCCCTTCCCTCCCTTTGCTACCACTGTGATTTCTGTGGCCACTTTTGGACACACAGTTGTGCTAGCTTGGTTTAAGAGCAGAGCTGTACAGTATCTCAGTCAAAAAAAATTCCTCTATTTGAACTTTACAGATATACTTACAAGTTTTGCATTAATAAATAATAAAATGTAACTTTTTTACAACTCAAAAGCCAAGGTTATAGGCAAATGTGACATTTTGATTTGGACCATCACCAAAGTCTATGTCTTATCCTGGGACTTGGGAGAGAGTTCCACTCAAAACCAAACAAATTAAAACAAAAATTAAATGAAATAGCCTAAATGAATACATAGGTCATTATTATTTCAAAGCCACTGAAATCACTGCAGAAGTACCAAAGTAACACAAATTGCAAGATTTAAACGATTTAGAGTATAGCATTTAGTAACATGTTCACTTGGAGGTTAGAGAATACAGGAGGACAGGAGGTGTATATCCAACACCTGACTTCATCTGTCCTGCTTATAGCCCCATGCATTCATTACAAAAATCACAGATACATGCTGCCCATAATTGCTATTACTAATAACAACACAACAAAACAGATATTCCTAAGATATAGTCACAACCAGAAGTGACACAGAATACTGAGGGACATCAGCATGGGCAGAACAAAACCATTTGGAAAGCAGAAGTTACATAACACACTTCTACTGTACCTGTGTATAAGAAACCTTATTGCAAAATTTATCACTCATCCAGAAAGCTGAACTGTGGTTTAAAAATAAATTATTGCACAAGAAACAAAAGCAAAAGCAAAGTTTGATTTCAGTGTACATGGCTGAGGGCAAAGCACTAAGAAAGCAATTGTAGTGATAAACTCTGGCACTGTGTGTACAATATTTATGCACTGAAGAATAGCAACTAAAGTTATTCTAAATATATACCTACAAAGGTCAGTAACCTATCAAATCATGCTGATCTCAGCACCAAGAAAACTAACAGGAATGATGAACAGAAAAAATACAATTTTCTTGATAGTCTTAATAGCATATAAAGACTCTCACACAGACACAGCATAGAATATTTTGTAGAATGTTGGAAAACAAATATTTAATTATGCTTTCTCAGAGGCCCACATATGATCCATATAACAATAACCACAATGTCCGTAGCACAAATTCCCTTGGAATAAATATAAATTTCCATGTTTAGAATCCTGGGGAAAGTTTGTCACAAATTCCTGCTAGTTTAGAGAAAAACTATTTGCTTTCTCTGTCTCATACTCCCTTGATATCATACTGCTGATCAAGTTTCCAAAAAGACTGATTTCTGAGGCAAACAGACATATTTGACATACATATTGACATACATGGATGCACACTAGGAGACAATACTCACAGCTAAAGATGCCTGGAGGTGGATGCTCTGTTACAAGCAGGCAATTCTCTTCATCACTGTTATCCCCACAGTCATTCTGTTGGTTACAAATCAGTGAACCAAGATACAAGCATTTGCCACTGGCGCAGGTGAATTTGCACTCTGAAAGGCAAAAAAGGAAACCAAAACAAAAATTTGTGAGAAAATTGATGCCTACCCCTCTTCAGTGCTAAAATGACAATATTCTTCAAGTAAATGCTATAATGGTAGATGGGTCTTTGGCATTTCAACACCAAAACAAACAATTTTGTCCTTATAGTATTGCATGTATGAATATATATGTCATGCATTCCTGATTGCCAGAATCAAACCACTAGTAAACCAGAATTGCCACTGAAAATTCACCTTTTTTAATAATAAGCAATATTTCTTGCAGTTCATGTTGATTGCAGTTCATTTTGGGCAAAGACTGTGTTCTCATATGTTTGTGTGGCACCTTGCATATTTGGGGCAAGACAGAACTATTAATAAAAATAATAATTGTCTCACATTAAAAAAAAAATCTTGCATCAGCTGTAAGGCAACAGTATAGTTTGTAACCAGGAACAACCCTGTCCAGACACAGACAATTATTCCTTAACTACCTTCCCAAAGCCATTTTGCCAGTCTCCCACCTAATTACAATCAAGCACTTGCTGTCTGCACATTGAAATCCCACATGCTAGTGTTCTTTAAAAGTCAGTAAACTTCTAAAACGCCTATTAGGTGTATGCATGCCAAAAGCAGGCATGCTGTAGCTTTTACACTTTGTTTTTACCAAAAAAAGGAGAACAATTTCCCCTAAATATAATTCTGTCATGAGAACAATTCCTATGAGACCAAGTATACTTTATAGCAAGTATTGAAGATGTAATTGGGAAATGTTCACAAAAATATACACACAATTATGAAAAGCTTTCTCACTAGGCTTGTTCTGAAGTAAAATACATGTATAGAACAGAGAACACATCATATCTAGACAAATTAAAATTTAATGATTACACTACTAGTATGTTGACAGATTCTGGTGATTGCCATTCACAAGTAGAGGCAAAACAGACAGAATTACAAACTCTCACAAATAGTTTATTAAAGGAGTGCCATTCCCTGAACCCTGGGCTTCCCTACCTGTATGGCTTGGCTGATTCTGCTCCACAGAGATGATTTCTGGTCCTTCACAGCAAAGAGACAGAATTTGTTCATCTTCAACAGTATCAGCAAAAGACTTTGCTTTAATCTTAACTTAGTCAGAACTAAGACAACAGGACCTCCAATTCTAAAACATCCCCTAAATCAGTTACCCAGGTGTGACACTTACTCACATGTGTCTGTTGCATAGTGCAAGCATGGTAATAGCAAAGGAGAGGAAAAAGAAATTGAGAAAGGGAGCGAATTCATTTTCATTTTTCATTTGCTTCATAGATAAAAGCAATTTGCAGACTTCACTCTGAACACTTTTCAAGAGTATTAATGATATTTTGGTACATGTACCAGCAAGAACCTGCTGCAATAAAAAATTGTATGCGTAAATATGTGTAACGTATAAAATGTTATTTAGGAATATAAATAGAAGGTATAAAATGCAAGGAAAACAAGCATTTCCTGTGCAGAAAAAACCTGATCTATTTCGCTTTGTGAAAGTGTACTTATAAAATAAGTATTTGCCTAAATGAAGTCCTCAAATATAAGCTTTTTCAGTCCAACCCTTCCATCCCTGATGTATTAAAACTGTAGAATAAAATACTGTACAAACAAATTATTTTCTTCTGTTTGTTACTCTGTTCTTCTCTGCTACAACAAAGAACTGAAGAGGCATTGAAGGGCTTAGATTCTTTTTGGGTATAGGCTATTAAAAAAAATCATAACCAAATGAAGTAAGTCTTTGAAACCCATGGAACTGAAAAGGTCATTAAAAATAACTTTTGGAAAGGAGACTTAAAAGACTAGGCTCAATATTAGCAATCTGGTAATTGCAATGCTTTAGGACTCATTTCTGCAATTTTATGAAGGAACTGGAACAAGAAATGAACAAAGCTGTCTTGGAAGGTTAGAAAAGTCGCCTTGAAAGGATTCAAACTTTCTAGGTATCTTAAATGAAGAATTTAACACAGGGTTAAGTTAGAGTGGTAAAGAACATAATGCTTCTGTTAGAAAGAATCAATCACCATACTGCAGTTAGAATATCTGGCATACTACTTTGGCCAACTTTTACTGCCTTCCTGTGCCTTTGTGTTTAGTCCTAATGTAATGCTTTCCATGCTTCCCCCATGGCTGATATAAAATGCTCAAGCAAGATGTCAAGTCAAAAGTAGTTAAAGCTAAGAACTCAAGGCGTCTGTTTGCCACCAGATTATACGGTTTCCACACAAAAGACTAGACGAAGCATTAAATTTTTCATAGCTATATTAAAGTCTTAAAGTTCTAGGGTTTAACTAACATTATCATAAGAGGACTAACCAGAAGAAAGGATTTGTGATTTAAGGTGGGGCGGGGGAGGTGGGGGTGGGTAGGGGTTGTCGTAGATAACTGACCACACTGAAATTTGCAATCAAAAAGCAGACTCAATCAACTTTTCTTGTAAAATATTAAGGCTATTTCCTTACTCCCTCACACATGTGAAAACAGCCATTGTGAAGGTGCATTAAAAAAAAAAAGAGTCATGAGGCCTCTTGTCCCCTTTTAGATGTGCCCACATTGACTGCAAGATGGCTCACAATACCACGGGAATTCTGTGTTGATTTGAAAATGGGGCATGTTGTCAAAAATCACGTTGCCTTCTGATCTCCCACCAAATCTACTTGCCAAGGAAGCAGTCATCCTCTACTGGCCCTGGCTGAGATGGAGTTAACTTTCTTCACTACAGACCCTATGGTGACTATTTGAATTTGTGATCCAAACAGTCAGTGTTGGACAGTGTTGTAGGACAGCGTTAATGTCACAATGATGCTTTGGTTAGTGCTGAGCAGTGGCTGTGTATCAAATGAGGCTTCCTCTTTTTCTCACTCACACATCTGCAAAAGTAACACCTAAATCTAACAAAATGTAATATCTAATGGAGGACACAAAATTGCAAAACTCAGTCTGCATAATTACATTCTGTTGAAGTCTGAAAGAAATACTCAAAGAAAAAATGCACTGCAGGAATAGTATAAATTAATTAAACAGATTATTCAATGAAAATACAGATACTTCTGACCACAGAATATACTTAGAATCTGGTATTTGCAACATGTGAACAAAAATTCAGTACCTTAAATTAGTTTGCTCAGTGAATGCATTGAAACAGTGTCTGCTTTTACTAAAACCAGAGAAGAACCCTTCCTTGTAAAGCAAGATGTGTCCAAGTCAGGCTGAGGGAGGTAGCAGAAAGCAAATATTAGAGTATTGTCAAACTGAAATAAACCTGCAGAGCTCTGTACCAAAACACAAGGAGTGACCTCAAAACACTCTGGCCAGGGAATCCAGACCAGTCCAGACTAAGCCAACGTGCCTAATGACACACCAAAGAGCCCTTTTCAGTACAAAGTCTTGTACTTGGCCTGTCTAGACAAGACAGGGGGGAAAGATCCTGTTCTGAAAACAAGCCAGCATGATCCTTCTTTCATGAATAATGTTTCAAAGCTAGACAGTTTCCCTTTTCATTTTCAAGTGGCAATTAGTGAAACATCAGTCAGTTGGTCAGCAAGGCTCTGACTAGAGCAAAACCTGAAGCAAGATGACAGCGACTGGAGCTTGAAAAATATCAATCCTTCTTGTAATTATGTCTTACTATGTTCATAATTATGTCTGGAGCATATTTTTAAAAAAAACTATCCTTATGATACAATGATATTCCAAGATAAAATTTTAATAAACATACTTCCGGGTAGAAGTTGACTGTCTTGGAAAAAAAAGAATACTAAGAATACTATTATAAACATTTCCTATGTTTAGAAAAGAATGCTAGTATAAAAAGTATATTGCACACATGTTCAAGGTAGATGCTTGTATGCATAAAACTCTACAATTACCAATTAATATACGACTGCATTTGAAATAGTTTCAAATAGTTAATTGAAGGTTATGTTTCTGTTGCTACAGCAAAAGACGGATTTGCCTCATGATACAAAAAAAATACCCTGATCAGATTTTTTACTGTGAAATGCAAGATCTGATGTATTGGGTAGGTTTATTTTATACTTTCTGTGCCTAGCCAACAAGATAATTTTATCCTTGCATTCAACTTAATTCTTTTAGACTTCATTTACACTTGACTTCATCCATATGAACAGCATTCCCATTGTTTTGTCATCCCACTTACCGTAGGGCATTTTTAATTATAGCTAAGTGCTGTTTGTTTTTCTAATGTAAGCCCAACCACGGGCCAGGGAAAAAAAGCAACGAAGTGTCATATTGAAAAAATATGGTGGTTTAGGCCACTGTTATGATGCATGTCACAGCTGCTTATTTAACGGGTCTGAGATGATTATCTGACCCAGGGGCAGAATTCTCTTCCATCCATTCGAATAAAAAATAAAAAACTATATATGCAGCCAGTGATTTCAAACTGTTGTGACTAAACCGTAGCAACGCGGTTCAAACGCACAAAATGAAATCCCAAGCGATGTCTGGGACTCCACCAGAGTGGAAAGGCACTCTCCCAAAGCCCAGCAGAATGGCAGGTGCCCGGGCAGCTCAGCCAGCAGAGGGTGATCAAATACCCTACTGAAGTCATGGCAATAGAAGGTAAGGATCTCTTTGCCTCCAGATGGGTGGACCTAAATCTCCAGAATAAAGGCCTAATTTCTAATTTATTACGTAAATAGGCCATTTTAAGTACAGCATCATACTTCTTCATACTCCTACTCATATTGCAGCATGTAAGAGCCTGAAAGAAAAAATGTTTAAAGGGCACCATCACTTGTTATAAGGATAATAAGAGGCAGAAGCAGTTAAATGGGGAGGGCGGGAGGAACCACACTTCACTAGAGATTAAAGCAATATAAACCACAAATATCAGAGTCAGTACAATAAAACCCTGTTCAGCCTCTCATAAACATCTCTCTGTGTATTATTTTTAATATTGTAGATTGTAGCTTTATAATGGGAAGTAAATCATAAATAGGAGACATGCACACAAAGGA